AGCTGTCAGCAACACAGTCTGCAAACCTCTGGCTCATTTAGAGAAAAATGATTTAGCCTGGAAAAATATGAAAGTATAGTCCACATTAATTGGTCTGGTGTTTCAAGGACAGACATCAAATTTAAGTCTAAAACGTGATCAACATGCCACAAAGACTAATTAAAAACAAGTATGTGCCTCTCAGAGCACATATAAAGAGGTCCATGAATAAGAAACAAATTTAAACAATATATTACATCAGAGAAAAAGGGGAGAAGGAAGAGGAAAGGATACGTAAGCACCAAATACCCCTGGGCAGAGAGAAATAAGGAAACAGGGAATTAATTATTTTTCAGCTAAATAAAGATGATGGGACAAAAAAAAAATATATTCAGAAAACAAGAATAAAATTAAATAAAATAAAAACTAAAATAACATAAAATTAAATTAAAGTAATTATGAAAGGGAGGATGGGAAACCACAATAAAGGAAAAGGAAAATTCCTCATTTTGAATGATCTGACTAATCCAAGCGAAGAAAACCTCCTCCAGAGGGAATGAGGACTGCAGAAAACAACCACTGCCTTCATGTCTACAAACATCGCAGAGTTAGGCATGACTACTCCTTAGAGGTACATTAGAAGCAAATGCTTTTTCCACCCTTAAGCCACAGACAGAAACAAATCCTGGTGGAGCACAGCAGAAGCAATAATGAGAAAAGAGGTAGCAGCGGTATTGGTATGAGGTGTGCTTCTGGAATGGGGTTGGCAGAACCAGAGCAGCTGCCATCACAAGGTTATTCCACCACTGAATGTACTGAGGGTCTGAGGGAATTGGATCCTAAAGCTCATGTTGATGTTGTGGAGCTTTATGTTGGTTCACTGTTGGCAGAAGCCACAGATCATCCCTCTGAAATGAAAGCAGATATACAGGAGACATGAATAAGGAACAACTGGCAAAAATAAGCTCTGTAACTAAATCAACTAGTTCATTGCAAAGGGGGGGGGGAATGCTAACAAGATGCAAAATCCCAAAGATTTCAAAGAAGTAATTTGATGCAATTGCTGTATCTTTTGTGCTTCCAAGTTGGTGTAAGCTGTCTATTTTTCAACAGACTCTGCCTGTCTTGGTCTCACATTTAGCACATGTCAAGACCTCACTCAATTTATTTTCTTCCACTTCTCCTTTGGAATGGGCATATTTCAGAGCCATAATAATTGTAGCTGAAAGTCAGTATGACTTGTCCTTTTCATATTTGCTGTCATCTCATTTGGACATCATTACCTGAAGGATCTTCAGTTAATTCTCTGGATTGCTGATAGAAAAGAAAACAACACAGTAAGTGAAAAATGTATAACCATTAAACACCATTAAACAGTATGGAAGACTTTCTAAGACAATTTTCTGATTTCATATTTCTATTTTTGTATTGTCTGACAGTCTTTTTTATAAATTAAATCATCTAAGGTGTACACTAATAGTGTGCTAAAAAGCCTTTAAAAATCAAGCTCATTAAAAATAATTTGTGTTAGTGAGCTATGTTTTGATATAGGAAAAAAAGGCTCTACTTCACTAACTCCATCTCATATCAATGAAACTGTATTATCTCAGTTCTGCAGAGACCTGTATGCACACATCCACTGAGATAATTCTTTGCAAGAATGAAAACCAGTAGTCCCAACGCACTCTATGAAACACAGCTGTGTTAATGTAGATTCAATGTTGTGACACAATTTAGGTCCAGTGATATATATATTCAACTTTGATTTTCTGCAGCAACTCTGTTTGATTTCTTGAAATGGAACATCACTTCCTTGTTGGAAAAGAAAGTCCTTGAATTAAATGCATTTCCATGGTTTTATATTGAATGCCACTTTGTTGAGAAGTTCTCATGCTTTCTGGCTCACAGACCACCATGTATCCTGTGCTGCTAGTGAGAATTTTGCAGCTTCAGGAAACTATGAATTCAGAAGAGGGCAAGATGTGACACTGCCTACCTTGCACTACTTGTTTGGCATCACAGCTCTTGGGGAAATGCACATAAGAGGCTTCTTACCCTATAACGGTATACATGTCATGCTGGGTATTTTACATCCAACCCTGTTCTTATCTAGCCAGACTCAATAAAAGTATTAAATATGCCCTTACTCACCAAAAAAGTGTTAGTTTAGATTTGGTGGTGAATAAGGAAACACTTGTAATTGCCAACATTAGTGCTACCAGCACTAAACATCCACTTCTAAACTAGGCATTTACCTGAATCCACAGCAAGTAGTAACTTTCCATCATCACTGCTTTCAGTAACAGTTAAATGTGCTATAGAATAGCAACTTTATTTGCGTGAAAGTGGTGCATGGGAGAGCATTACCAGGCCCTTTACAAGATAATGTCTATTTTTTTGGTTTCTAACATGCAACAACTAGATATGATCTTCTTGTCAGCATTATTTGGATAGTGAATATTTTTTTCTCATTCTGTACAGTATTTTTCTGTTCTCTCTTTGTATTATCACTTTCATACATTACTTCTAAGAATGACAAAGATTTTAACAACGTTTATAAAGTACTTTCTACTGTCTTGAATGTAGCTGCCCCTGTTAAGGTATTTAGACTGTAAGACAGGCAAGCATGTAGACCCTGGATTTCTAGGGAGACATACACATGCCTTTAGGGGAGCATGACCTGTTCAGAAAGAGTATGTGGCTCCACAAAGAGGGAGGAACTGCCGAAGTCAGTAGGTGGATAACAGGTATTTACCTATCCTATCTCCTAGGTAGACAGGAGGGCAGAGCCTATTTTGGCATGAAGGAGGGCAGGATGGGTGTGTTGAAGCTCCATCTGAAGGCTATGTGCTGACCTTCCCCACTTGTTGAAGGAGATGAAGGACAGATTGTGCGCATGACCTTTCATCCCCATCTTCTTCCCCTTCAGAGTGGGAGCAGCTACCTCTACTATCTATATCCCACCGATAAGTGTCCTTCTCCTGACACTCACCCGCTGGCACTCACCCCACCTCCAGTGGTGCAAAAAAGCTGGCAATGCAGAAGAGAGCCCATCCTGAAAGGGTGAAGAGTGTGCAATTCCTCCCCAGCAAAGGGAAAGTACAAGGCTTTTAGGAAGATGTCCTCAGGGAGGGGACAAAGTAACCATGACACATGGATTTTAACCATCCCTAATATCACCCACATTTCTGTCTCGGAGAGGCCAAATGACCTTTGCTATATTCTTTGCTCGGATCAGTTTCAAACAGTCAAGGCAGGGTTTACATGTAGTGATGAGTTCAGCATTACACAGGTCTCTCTCAGAACTGAAAAAAAAAACAATAGTGTCATAATTACAAACAAGGTGTGCTTGCAGAAGGAATTATTTCTCTTGGAATCTAGAGCTGGTTCTTCTCTTATTTTCTCTTCAATCATTGGCCAAGAGAAGTGAGTAAGTGATCTCCAGCCCATGACAAGCAAATACTTGCAGTTCGTACCATGAGCTTGCCAACTGAGGAAATGGATCTACCTATTCTTTGTGTACTCACAGCACCAAAAAGACAGATACTGTGTTTATGAAATGCATATCCAGGAATCATTTCACCACCAAAACACAATCACCTGCATAATTGAGTAGGTGACAACAGAGCACAAGCTTTTGCAATATCACTGTCAGTCTACAGAGAAATTTCCCGCGGGCAGGAAACTTCATAAAACTCAGTCTGCATGTGTCAATGGATCACCCAGCTGGGATGCTCTGCATTTCCAATGGCTAAGTAATATGAGAGCCCATACAGAAGCAATAGCTCTGCAACTGGCTACTCCCATCCTCAGCACGTGTGAAGACCCCTGCCCCTGACTTCCCACAGGAACTGGGCTTACATAGGGTCAAAGACATTGCACTAGCAGAAACCTCTGAGGCTCTGTCACATAAGTTGAATACCTGTATTAGAATATAAGATCGCATGGACCAAGATCTCTGTAAAAAACAATTGTATTCACTGGCTTATATTCCTTTCCATGCTATGTAACATTACTTCTAATTTCTGCGCTTTGAAATTCCTATGCTAGATTAGTCAGAGAGCTTTTTCTTCATTAAGCACCCAACACCAAGCCTTCTTTTGTTTAATTCCTTCAAAATATTTGATGAGTTCCTACCTCATAATAATTGCATTAGATTCTGCACATACAATCGCATGCTGGTAAAAATCAACATCCGCCTTCTTGCAAAATAAACTATTCATTGCCCCTTTTGGATATCCACTGTAGCCCACGGCAACCTAGAAACAAACAACATACAAAGAAATAAAAGGTAATGTTGTTCTGGAATCTTTAGCTATTTACAGCCTAATCCAACTCCTAAAAGTTGTTAACAACTTCAGGAAGAGTTCTAATGTGATGTTTGGTAATGTTTATGCAGATCTCCATTTCAAAGTGATTAATTATAGATCTCAACTTCTTGTTAATAACTTCAGGGAGAATTCTAACCTGATGCTGTTTGGTAATGTTTATGGAGATCTCCATTTCAAAGTGGTTGATTATAGATCTCAATCATATATTTGTATGAAATGTGAAGTTTCAGAAAATTACGAATTCTTTTCTCCCCCAAAGGAAAAATTGTCTTTGTTTCCAGAAATACATTTTCCTATGAACAGTTCAGACATTTTTAGAAGAAAAGCACAATTTCCTAAACCACATAAACCTTTACTTACAATGTTGTCTTCCTTGAAAATCACCGTCCCCACTCCATTGTTATTGTCTGAGAATAAACGGTCAAATAATCACAATTATAAATTCGCACAACACTATGATATTACAACAAACCTGCTGGTCAAAAAGTATGACATTCATACTCATGTCTACTGGTCCAGAGTTTCATTAATTCTAATTTTTCATTAATTACCTAACAGAATGAAGTGTAATCAATGAAATAGGGGGGAGGGGTGTTGCTCAGTATATTACATCTCAAGGAATATGACTAACAATTGTGTAGAATTTTTCCACACTGAGTAAATTAAGGAACTAAATTTAGTAATATTAATTTACTTACCACTTCTGGATGCTAACAAATCACAGAGCTGTAATGCATGGGTGTACTTAGGATTATTCTTTACAGTGGATTCCTTCTCTTCTAAGATTTTTATTTTTTCATCTTTGCAACTTGCAAGAGATTTAAAACAGTTCTTTGCTGTAGTAAGATTTTTTTTGTATTTTTTCAGTCGGTCATCCTTCAGGTGTTCCAAGTTGAATTCTTTTAAAATATCCCCACTAGTTTTCTTATCAAATACAGATGAAACTGGAACTAAATTATCATTAGAAGATGCTTTTTCATTTGAATGAAGTATTTCCATCTTTCTTTGGTTGGCTATTGTAGGTACATATACCGCCGCAACAACATTGCTTTCTGTAAAGATGGCATTAGCATATTTTACGAGATTATGCTTTGAGTTTGCCATTTTGATTTCAAAATTTGGCCAGTAATACACATGTGAGACTTGTGCTGAATAAAGAAAACAGATATGTAAGATTAATATTAAATATGAAATATACTAGCAGTTGTGTTTTCCACTAACAAACATAAAGTGATATAGAATATACTTAAGCAAGCTGCAGCTTTCCCTCACATTAATAGAATAATATTAAAATATTTTTTATTATCACATTATTTTCAGAGTCAAAAGGGAAACTTAATATACAATTGATTACTTTATATTTTTTTCCAAGTGATTAAACTTTTATCTCTACTTATGTTTACCAAACTGTAAAGATTTCCAAAGCAAGGAGATTGTTTTGAAAAGATACAGGAAGTTGTTGTAGAGGAAAAAATGTATATCATATATAAAATATATAACATATATATATAAAAAACATATATTTTGTCTCTTATTTTTTTCTCATTTAACAAGCTCTGGTGGCTCTTTTTTTCATTAATGACTTGCACTATTCCTTCATGATCCATGTGTTAGTAAATACCAACAATTTGTACAATTACATTATGAATCACATCTTAATGTTCTCTAATAATCACAGCTATCTATTGTATAAGATATTTAGCTACATCAGCTTCTGACAGGGACCTGAATGATTCATATAAGAGCCAACTGAGGAAAAATGCAGAAAGCAAAATGGAAGTAACTGAAGAGGAAGAGAAATGACTGCTGTGACTAGTTTACCAGCCTGTAAGTATGACACGTGCAGTCTTAGTCTAGGAGATATTTCAGTTTTGATACTGACCTTGAACCAGCAATTTTGCACAATAATTGCAAGGTTTCCGAGACATGTAAACTTCACAGCCTTTCAGGGCATTAGGAAACCTTAACAGCACTTTTGTCACAGCATGAAGTTCCCCTGTTGAGCAGCCCAGGGCAGTAATCCTTTTGGGCTTGCTTGGTTCACAGATGACAATTCCAGTTCTGCAATCCTGCATATACATACACAAATAAATGTACAGGTATACAAATGAAAGTATAACCGTCCAGCGAATGAGAGTCCAGCCAGATTATGTGTACGTAAAGATAAAGCAATCAAAGGATCTCACAGAAAAAGAATGGCATTTGTTGCAAATGGCTAGGGATGAAGCAGTCTAGAAAATCCTTGTGGATTTTCAGACAGTTTTGTTGTGTCTACAGCACCTAACTCAATTGTTGTATTCTAGATCAACCGGGCAAATGCTTTTACTGGAGTCCAGAAAGACTTAAGAGGTAGACAGACCTTTGTAAAGTCTGTAATTGTGTGTAACATCATGAAAAAAGCAGGGAGATGGATATTCGAATAACTGGTTTACTGCAGACTACCAAAACAGGAGAAAGGAGTGACAAGGTGTAGTATCAAGCAAATGGCAACACTATTCAAAGGATACTCACCAGACATCTATGTAACTTCAAAGCTTCAAACAGCTTTGATCTACTAAAAATCCAGAGTCTAAGCATGCAATAGGTTAAAATTCTAACTGCAGGTCTGTGGCCCACAGGCAACCCACACTGGAACAGAGGCTCCTGAGGAACCACAGCCAGCAGACACCTTATGCCAGGGCAGGGCCAGTAGGAAGCATGGAAGAGCAGAGAAAACTAGGAAAAAAGTACAGAAGAGTTGCAGACAAACCATCACCTACACAGCCCCAACCTCCTGCAACACCCATCACCTCACTGAGAGTAACATAAGGTAAAAACAATGGAAGTTGAGACTAGGAAAGTGAGAGGGTAGGTGTTTGGCTCAAGCTGAGATAAATGTTTACTTTGGTATTTAACTCTTTCTGTTCTCTTTCTCTCTTCAATACCCAATTCAGTAAACAGAAGTTTGTATTTATTGGCAATAAATTGGATTAAGTAAAAATTCTCCGAATTAAGATCACTTTGCCCACAACACCAAGTCAGTAGTTTTTAAATCAAGATCCTATTTGACAATATGGCTTTTTTTTAGCCTTGATAACAATTAATATGCTTGAGTTGAAGTAACTCACAGATTCCTCTGATTCACTTGGTAAATTTTCCATATGTAGTGCTAAAAAGATGCACAGGTCTTCTTTCTTCAGATGAGGAATGGGAGGACCTAGAAAGAAACAGTGGACAGAAAAGCTAATCAAAACAGTCCTGCAGAAAAAAATAGGCAATGTCACACAATTAGTAAATAATTACTGGTAATGAGATAGAAAGGATAATTATTTAGCTCTCTGGTCCTAGGTGGAAAGTTGGGGGAAAGGGTTATAATTTCCATGCATGTTGAAAGAAAGAACTGTTTCTTAATAATGCATCAGTGCTCGATGAGCCAGTTACCCTGTAAAGAGCCTTATCTTTGCATTTCAAACATCAGCACATCTACTTATGCGTGCCAGTCCTCCGAGGAAAATGGAAATGATCATCCTAGGAGCCACTGCTTGACAGAGTGCAGAGCTATCCTGGATCTCCTTTTTTTTCTGTTTTGTTTCTTTGTGTTTTTTTTTTTTGGGGGGGGGAGTTTGTTGTTGTTCTTTTTAAATGCTATCTACTCTTCTGTCACAGGCAATGATTTCTACTGACTTCAAGAGGAAAGAAAAAGTATGTGAATATCCAATGTGCAGTCTTAGTCTAGGAGATATAGTCTAGGAGATCTAGCCAATCTGGAAAGACTAATTCTATTGCCCTATATCATACTCTTCTTCAAAATATTTCAACTATCACAGTTGAAAATCCTCCCTTTTTTATGCCCTTTTTTTTTTTTTGGTTAAGATTTCAATACCATTTGGTAAGACTGGTAAAAAAATGGATACAATTACTTTTACTTAAAATAAAATTAAAATTAAGACAAATATGTTGCCAGAGCGATATGTCAGAAGTTTGCACATCAGCTCTCTGTGCTGTGTAATATCCAGCTCACTACTTTCAGGCCAATTACATTTATTCAACCCTGTTTAATTAAATTAAATTAAATTAGGGAAACCAAAAACTGATGATCAGTGAAGAGTTTAGTGAATTTATTTCACTTTGCCTTCATCACTCATTCCTTCTGTTCCTTCACTGTCTTCTGAATCACTAGGTACTGGAAGACACAAAAGAAAAAAGGTTGGATTTGAAATAGCACATAAAAAGACACTACATGAAGTTTAGAAGTTTATCAGCCCTCCCCCTCTTATTATCAACACTGACACACTATCCACTGTGAGCTGGACATCTCAGAAGTCACAACTGGTTCAGAACAATATTTGACAGTCAGGCTGGACTCTGATACTTTATTCAGAAACAATCTATATTAAGATGAATGGGAATTGCACAGATATAAAACAGTTAACTGAACTTCATGTAGAAATACCTACAGCTGCCCAGTGGTGGTGGTGACAAGAGGATGGCCTGGGTTTTTGTTGTTAGGTATCTTTTTAAAGTTTGAATTTCATCTTTTTAACCTCCAAATGCATAATGTTCTCCTCACATACAGAATGGCCAATACTCACACTGCCTTCTCTCTCCCTTTGCTTTCACACTCAAGACGGCCTCTTCTTGTCCTTGATACTGAGTCTCTGCTTGTTCATTTCTGCCATCCTGTCATCTTCCTGGTTCTTGCTCTTCCCATCAGTTTGATTTCATTCTACTGCAAATATCACACTTTTCTCTTCAATTTTAAAATAATCTATCCCTTACTCCTCTTCAATTACATAGTTCTCCCCAGTTCACTTGTCCAGCGTATCTTCACACTCCATGAGGATGTGGTCAGCAACATTTTTGGAGATTTTATCTTCTAATTTAGTTTTGTTTCAAACGTTTATTTCAAATCTTTCTCCCTTAGTAAGAGCATTGGTGCTTCAGCTTATACGTCATTAAGATTTCAAATTTCTACCTCAGTTATAACTTTATTTTTCTTTAAACCAAGCAAAAAGTATAAAGGATTTTGTGTATTCTCAAAATGTGTGGTGTTCTTAAAAACTTCTGTTACTTTTTACTGATTGTCTACTCTAAATAAAATTGTAAGTTACTTAAGAAAATTTCAATATTGATAACATTATTCTGTGGTAGGTGATCTGACTCTCTAACTGGCATAAACCCAGTGGCATGTGGAGAAGAGTCAAGCCCAATACCTCCACAGATTTGGATAGCAGGACTTGCAGTCATATGTAAGGCTGGAAGCAATTCACAGAAAAGGCGTGAAATAAGAAAACTATCACAAAGGATGCTGATTAGTCGTTTTGGGGGAAAAAATTATGACTTAGCAAAAGAGCAGAAACCATTAACCCCAGAAACTTGCTATGTTATTCCTCTGTCTTTTCAACTGTAACCAGTTATGGGGTTTAGCCACTTACAGACCGAAAGGGCGACATTTTTGTGTAATTCTGTCTTCTGCATATTCAGAAGTACTGTGGCAGAAATGGAATCTGCAGGGTACAGATATTTATAATGTATAGCTCCAAATGAAGGTTGGAACAAGCAGAACTAATTTAAGGGTAACTCAATTCAATTTACAGCAATTATGTGCCATTTATAAACAGATTCTGTTGTATTTATTACATCCTGCAAAAAGGGCTTTAAAGAAAAATACTTAGTAACATACTATACTCCTAAATTTAAACACCAGTAATACCAAAAGAAGCCAAATGAAATGGTAAAAAGGAGGAGGAAATGAATCTTAACCATACCTGCCACAAGTTGAATTTCACACTGTTTCCACTGGAATAAAAAGAAAACAAACAAAAAGGTATTTAAAGCATATGTGAACATTTACTTCATACATTCCACAATTTATCTGTTCATATCTGTCATTATATTTGTAACAGCTATTAATCAATCTAACACGAAGATTTCTTGGACCCCTGGACATATATGGGTCCTTGAAATCATTCTTGTCTGTTCCAGTTCTAATGCTTTTGTTCTCTACAGGGAGATAAAAGTCAACTACATAGCCTACTCTCCTCTAAACATTTATCCAGTTCATCAGTAGTTTTGTGTGTCCCAGTTCCCTCTTTTCCCAACTCAGACTGCTTTACTTCCATCAGATGTATCTTGAAAGTGAAGCAATATTTTTCTACATTATCTGCTTCCACTTCTGACATACCTTCTACCTGCTTAATTATTTTTATTTATCTTTTAGTAATACCACCCTGAGTCTAATCGTCAAGATTCAAACCTACCTCATGATAGTCAAAGTTTTTCTTTAAACCATCTAGAGGATCCTAAAACAAAAAAAGAGAAGCAAATAAACCAGGCACTCACAGAATCACTGAGGTTGGAAGCCACCTCTGGAGGTCTCCAGTCCAGAGACCTGAAGGCAGGGTGAACTACAGCAGATCTGTTGGGGTCATGTCCACTCAGGTTTTGAGTATCTCAGAGGATGGGGGCTCCACATTCTGTCTGGGCAACGTGTCCCAGGGCTCATCAGCCTCAAAGCAAAAAGGCTTTTTCTTACATTTCAGTGAAATTCCCTGTATTTCAAATTGCGCCCACTGCCTCCTGTCCAACCACTGAGAAGGCTCTGGCTCTGTCTTCTTTACTCCTTCCCATCAGGTATACACATGGATAAGATCCCACCTGAACTTTCTGTTCTCCTGGCTGGTCACTCTCAGCTCTCTCAGCCTCTCCTCATACAAGAAATGGTCTCATTACTTAATTGTCCTTAAGGCCTTTAGCAGGACTTGCAGTCATATGTCCTCATCTTTCTTGTACTGTAAAGGCCAGAACTGGACACAGCATTCCAACCATTACCTCACCTCAGGTAGCTGTCAATCCACCTCAGTGACCACTTATCTAGTTCATTCTTCACCAGTTTGTCTATTAGGATGCTGTGGGACATGCTGTTGCAGTTGTTAAATTCAAGATGAAAACCGTCTACTGCTCTATACTCATCCAGTGGGTCATCTCATCACAAAAGGATGTCAGATTAGTCACGTATATTTTCTCCTTCATAAAACCATGCTGACTACTTACAGTCACCTTATTGACAGGTCCCATGGTCTTGTGCATATTCAACTTCTTTAAATATTCCATAACCAGATTTTACTCTACTACCTTCATTGTTCCACATCTTCCCACCAGTCTCAGGGACATGGAATTCCTG